CCAAGTCATGGGTCATTGAAGAACAACTGTCATGTCTTTTGGATTTTGCTTTGTGATTTGAGTGCATTATTGAATTAACTAAACACTACCCTGCCCTAGGTTGAGTGTAGATGTTTATAGATTTGAAGGAAACTACTACTTCTAGGCTCGAAGTGGTTTACTAGGGATTAACTTCTTTCTCTCCAGTGTTTGGGGGATTGAAATAATGCATGTACATCATCGAAGAGATTTTGTCTTAAAGCATACGGTTTGCAATTATGAATATTTCATTGTCATCATCCTCCCTCCAATCATTACTAAATAATAGTTGATAAAGAGATTGAAGTGGATAAAAATATGTTTCGTTGATTCGTGGTAAGTGGAATAAATGAGTGAATACGACATAACAAATTCAAAGCATGCATAATCACTACATTAATAAAACCAAATACAAATGGCAATGTTTAAAGCATACAACACTTAAACAAACAAGATGAAATACAAGAATGTAAAAGATGAAATGGCAACATGGCTGCCTTCTTCGGGGAGATGAACTTGACTTGACTTGGTTTAATTTAACTTGACGTTGGAACTAGCTTGGAGGCGGCATAGGATTGTTGATGACATTTGGAGTCCTCCAATTGAATGTGAGAGAATTCTTATCCAGGTCCTGGACTTTGTGTTTGAAAGCTCTGCAGTCCTCAATAGTGTACCCTGGAGCGCTCTTATGAAACTCATAGTGAGCCTTCGCATCATATCGGGAGGAATGATAGTCGGAGGAGCTAGGTCCCTCAAAGTGATAGCCCTTTTCTCCAACAATTGAGCAAAGATCTAAGCATATGACATAGGTAGGACATCAAAGACTCTACCTTGCTTCCTTTCCCTTTGCTGATTAGGTTGACACTGTTGTTGATGCTGAGAAGGATACTAATACCCTTGCTGATTATAGGACTATTGCTGAGGAGCCTGTTGCTGAGGCATTGGAGCTTGAACAACTTTAACAACTGGCTGATAAGGCATTGAATCGTATTGTGTAGCAATAATGTATAGATATTGGTAGTAAGGGATTTGATAAGGAATAGGAACATGAGCTTGTTGAGGAGGTTTCCCTTTCTGAACAGAGACGGAATTTGTTTCGCCCTCCTTATTTTTGTATCCATTAAAAGGCTTCTTGGATCCAGACTGGCTGCTAGAACCTCCTTGGATCTTTCCTTTCTTTAAACCCTCTTTAATTCTCTCACCGATAATCACCAAGTCAGAGAATCCAATAGAAACACTACCGATTAAATTCTCATAGTATTGGCCTTACAAGGTGCCCATGAATACATCAATCAGTTCACGGTCAATAAGTGGTGGATGTACCCTTGCAGCTAGCTCTCTCCAGTGCTGTGCGTACTCCTTAACCGATTCACTGTCCTTTTGAGCCATACTCTAAAGTTGAGTACGGTTCGGAGCAAGATCGGTGTTATATTTGTACTACTTGACAAACACATCAGTTAACTCAGCCTAAGTGTGTACACTGTTATGCTCTAGATGCATATACCACTCAAGGGATGTTCCATACAAGTTATCTTGGAAGCAATGGATCAACAACTTTTCGTCTCTGGTATAAGTAGCCATCTTGCGACAGTACATCTTCAGATGAATGTTTGGACAACTGAGGTCATTGTACTTTGAAAATTCAGGAACCTTGAACTTGGGAGGAATGACAACATCTGGTACCAAGCACAATTCCAGAACATTGAGAGAAGTAGAGTTGTGCCCCTCCATGACTCAGAGTTTCTCAGCTAAATCAAAACACATCTTGATAGCTTCAGAATCCCGAGCAGCAACAGGAATGGCAATGAGGATAGCAGCATGATAGTTTTGAACATCATCATACTGGTTTAGCATGAGGAACATGGATCAGAACGACAATAGGTTGGGCTTGCGGGATAGCCCCAATAGTAACTCCAAGTGTGAGGAGTGGTTGAGAAGTGGTTCATTCAGCTACGAGAATGAAGTTGATTGGTATCCCATAGTTGATGGGGTTGGGAATAGGTACTGAGAGCCTTGAGGTAGACCCTTGTACATGACTGTTGTTGTTGACAGCAACAGCTTCACGCATTTCTTCTTCCTTTCTGGCCGTAGTGATGGCTTAGAGAATCTGATCAATCTTTCCCTTAATGGATTCTAATTCCTCTCTTGTTGAATTTGCTCCATCATAAGTCTTGTATTGGCTCGAGTTGCGTACTGGTGTCGAGGAATCAACTTGATTTACTGGAGAAGGAAGGTGAAATGAGATTTTGCTGAAGAAATAAAATGCAAGATGCATAACAGATGCAATGCAATGACATGCATACGAGATGCAATATATATATATATATATATATATATATATATATATATATATATATATATATATATATATATATATATATATATATATATATATATATATATATATATATATATATATATATATATATATATATATATATATATATATATATATATATATATATATATATATATATATATATATATATATATATATATATATATATATATATATATAACCAAACACTTAAAGTTATTTAATTTTATCATATAATTATGTATTAAACTATTTAAATTTGAGAAATTCTTGAAACAATTTATTTTACTGGTAAATTTATCCAACTTTTTGTGATGAATAGATAAAAAATTCCTTGATTTAATACAATTTTTAATATTATAACCGATTTTTGAGGAGTTTCATGCCTTGCTTAGAAATATTATTTTTACCTTGAACATAAATAAGTGGATTTGGAAGCATTCCAGGGACAATACTTTTTCAGTGACCTTCGCTTACCTTGTCTAGTTGGGAAGGCTGACTTATATGACACCACTTTCGTTTCAGAGTCGTATTCTTTCTCTTATTTGGAGTAGTTGGGCTCCTTCTAAATTTTTTATTTTTCCCTAGTATTTTTTGCAGGAAAGATTCTTTTTTAGAGTCAACCTATTTAGAAGAGAGGTGTTATCGGAGACTAGTAAGATTTCTTGTCTTTTTTGCAAATTTCTGATCGAGATTGATTCTTACTTTTTTATTACTAATAAGATAGCTTTGTTAGTTGATATAGTATTTTCATCAAAATCTTAAGCTTTTTTTTTAAGTCTTTTCTTTTTTTAAGAGGTATGGTAAAGTATATGGTGATTATCTTATGGTTTGACTTGTTGTAATGGAGTCACAAAAGCAATAGAAGAAGTGGAGGAGAATATTATATTTTTGACTTTGAATTGAATTTTGGGGGACAAATTTTACACGTTTAGGGATTGATTTCAGAATATTATTCTCTATCTATATCTATACCGGATCGAGTGTTTTCCCTAATTTATGGCGGTGGATCTTTACCTTGTTGGAATGATCAATTGATGGGTGAATTTGAATTTTTGTTCGGGATAGATGGAGGAGAGGGGAGGAGAAATTTTTAATTAAATATGTTTGGTTCAAATTTTAGGAGGGGAGTGAAGGGGAGCAAATCCCTTCAAAACACATTTTTTTATTTCCTCCGAATTGGAGGAATTTGGAGGGGAGGAGAGAGAATATGTGTTTTGATATTTAAAAAATATTATATTTACTAAAATATCTTCAGTTTAATTTTAGTATTTCAAAATTATTCGTTTTCTTTCGTATTCTTGTTTTTTTCGATTGTTTCTATCAACTTATTATTATTGTTCTCCACTTTCAATTTTTTTATAATTTGTGTACTTAATATAAATCATAATCATTACTTTTTTTTATAAAAAAATCATGTTTAGTTATATTCGTTTTTTTTTCTTTTAATTTTATTATGTATTCTATCGTATTTTCTTTTATATCAAATTGTAAATCATTCATTTTATTTATTTTTGTTTATTCATTTTATTAAATATTTTGAACTATTAATTAATAATAAATTATTTTATATATTTGTTGTTACATAATTCATCACAATTTAAACGATGTTATCAACATATATTTTAATTTATGTTGGAAAGTTATAAGTTAAATCTATTGTACTTAATTTTTTAACATTATGTAACAAATAAATATTTTTTTAGTCACTTAGTATTAGAAATTTTATTACCAAAAATAATGTGTATGAATTTTTCACATTTGAATATCATATAATTTATATAAGATCATAAGAATAAATATGTAAATTATTAATAAAATTCATCTTCCGTAAACTAAATACATTTTTAATTAAAATTCACTTTCTCTCCTCCCCTCCACTCTCTTTCCTCTATTAAAATTATTTTCCTCCCATTCCTCTCATTTGAACCAAACAGAGAAAGAGTAACGAAGTAGTTCTCTATCCATGGTGATTTTATTTCTAGATGTTCTCCTATTTGAGGCTTCCAATTTTTTTATTGAGTTTCTTTCTATCGTGTATTAAGATGTATTAACGCTTCTGCTGTGCTTTGTGATTATTTATTGTAACTTTATTCTTTTAATTTATTAACATATTTATTTGGCATTAAAAAAATTAACAAGTTGGAAAGGTCATTGGATATAATACTATGTAACCCTTTCTTTCTTCCATTTCCAAATTCCACCTATTCATCTTCGTCGTACTCTGTCACTTTCTATTTTTCTCACTCTTCCACCGGTTTACCGTCTCTCCAAGTCTCCATGCTTACACGTGCTTCCTCCTCCCACAAACCATCTCACACGTGCCATCTCTCACCCATACAACTCCCTTCCTTTCTGTGGTGCAACAAATAAAAGTTAGAGAGAGAAAGTAACTCGTGTGGAACCAATCTCTATATAGAGACACACAAAAAGAAAAATGAGATAAAACTAAAAGCATAAAACTTTTTTCTCTTGGTCTTGCCCATGTAGTAAGTAGAGATTAAATGGGTTCAGAGTTTCAATCTTGTTTTCTTCTTCTTTCTTCAATTCTCAAAACCCAAAGATCGCATCTTTCCTTAAACTATCTCTTTTTTTTATTTTAACTCACTCAATCTCCTCACTTTTTTTTCTTTGTGAATCAGTTTTTGTTTTCAATCTTGCACCGATGAGGATCCGTAAAAGACAGGCTATTTTCTCTTCTTCCGAGTCTATTTCGTCTTTGCATCTCTCAGATCTTAACCACTTTAACCGGTCACCGGTGATGGTGCAACTCAGCGACGGTGCTCATGCTCACACACAATCAAAACCTTGTTCTTCTTCAACATCGTTGCTTGCTTCAGCTGGTTCTAGCTTGGATCTTTATCAGCCGTCTGATCAAACACTCCCACTGATCGGGAAACTAAACAACGGCTACGATTATCCATCCATCATACAACTAAGTGGGGTACACAAACACCACAACCAGCAAGACCCTTTGGTAAGCCAAATAACCGTTTTTGTTTTATTTTTAAAATTTTCCTTTTTTAATTTTATTTTAAAAAAAAAAGTTCATGATTAAGTGCACTTTTGTCTAATCCCTTACCAATTGTTTTCCCTTAGTGTCAAATTTATTTATTTTATTGTTCTAAAAAAATGATTTCACATCTAGAAAGGGCTCTTATATTACATCTATTTATTTTTTGTATGGTTGATTTTATTTTACAGGATGAGAAGGTTAGAGGGGAAGAGAAAGAGAGTGGAAACTCTGGAGAGAACAAAAGTAATCATATCAGGTGAGAATATATAATCAAACTGAAACTCTTTTTTTAACTCTTTTATTCTTTCATGAAATGGTAATAAACGTTCAAGTTTATTAATCAGCTTGCCAAAAGAAAATTGTGTTATTATTATTATTATTATTTTAAAATATAGCCATGGAAAATATACTGTTGAAAGTGTTTTAAATAAGATACATATTGTGTATTATGTTTGTATATATAACCAAATAAAGGCCATCCTTCTTTTCTCTAAAATGGGTAGCTACCATTTTGCACTACTGCCTATAACTGGTCCCCATCCTCAACTATATTGCACTCCTATTTATTAATATCTATATATTCCTCTTTTATGTAAATTTCATGTGTATTTCTGGGTCTCCTTTATTCTTAGCAAAGGAGATTTCTTGGTTGATTCTCAACACTTGCCATCATCAACTACTTTGGTCCAAGGTAACTAACAAACATTACTACTACTACTACTTTGTTATTCCATGCATATATATTGTTTGCGAGATTGTTTAATTAGAGTTAGAGTTATATATTTGTAGATGGGAGATGGTGTGAGGGAGAGGAAGCTATTCCATTAAAGAAAAGGAAAGGAAGGTTGGAGAATGTTGCTATGGAGAGTGATGACAGTAAGAAAACAAAGAGTAAGATCGGGAAGACAAAGTTGAATAAGAAATGTTGTATGAGAAAAGATGATGATGGAGAAGATGAAGAATGCAAGAAAAAAGTGGATACTATTAAGAAGAGGGAGACAAAAAGGGGAAGTGCACTGATGGAAGGTTCGCGGTGCAGTCGTGTTAATGGAAGAGGATGGAGGTGTTGTCAACAAACACTTGTTGGTTATTCTCTTTGCGAGCATCATTTAGGGAAAGGTAGGTTGAGAAGCATGACAAGTGTTAGAAATAGATCTATTGGACTTTCTACTACTACTATTACTGCACCAAACAATGTTGTTGATAGAGATAGTGCTTCTTCATCTTCTAATTCCGAACTTGTAAAGAAAATCTTTTCTGGGAATGATATTGTTGATAAGCTGGAGAATGGCGATGATTCGAAAAAGCCAGTGGTGATGATTAAGAAGAGAATGAAACTTGGAATGGTTAAAGCACGATCCATGAGCAGCTTATTGGGACAGACAGACAACAAGGTTGTTGTAGTTGACCAGAATAGCAAGTAAGACTCAAGATTATAATTAAATTATTTATCATTACTTGTATTAATATTTTGGTGCTACAACTATGTTTTATATATTCAACTTAGCCTGTGCTTTAATTTGGTACACTGTTGTTATGTGGTATAATATAAAATATATTATTATTATTATTACTATTATTATTATTATTATTATTATTATTATTATTATTATTATTATTATGATGGTATTATTTTGTGTTATATTTTCAAATGGATATTTTAGTTTACTGAAGATATCATGATCATATGAATATTAAGTGTCTTTTTTCCCATAACTTTATCATGATATAATTCATGTGAAGTTTTGTAATTTTCAGACAATAATTTTACATGTAAATTAGATAATTGTAACCGTTTCTTGTGGTGAAGTCAACCCATGCATATATAATGGTTTCAACTGAAAGTTTGTTGAGAGTTTATTTGCACATGTGATAGAAGAAGATATTTTATACTGTATCTTTGGATATGATATAGCGGTGGAGATTGAAAATGGACTAGTTACAGCTTGGTAGTTTTAGACACGCGCATTGTATTTGTCTTACTGTTTTATAGATATCTACATGCATAAAGGTCTGGAAATTATCAATAAGTTTTAGACATCATCTGTTTCGGTGTTTTATACAAATCTACATGCAAGTAAAATTTACTGTTCTATGTATAATAAGCACTACACTCATAAATCGGAGTTTGCTTATCACTTTATTAATATTATTTTTGTCTTAAAAGATATTCCAAACAATTTTTATAAATGGTTGATCATTTATTGTTGTTATAATTTATCTATAGCTACCTAGTTGTATTAATTAAATAAACTGGTTACTCTTAAACAAATTAAATAAACTATATTTTTCTTTAATAAGGTGAAACATTTTATTATTGTTTACTATACTATAAATTAAGAATATGTGATGCGGGTCAAATTTAAAGGTGGAAGAGATAATATGATGGGAGAATAAGAGCTAAGTAAGGGGTGAATTGGAGCCAGCTATTTGGTAGATCAGTGGTATTTTAAAATGGATATGGATTGGGGAAAAGGTAGTCACCCCATAATACTTCAAAAAGATAATAAGGTTAAAGACAACTTCAGGATTGTTGGTTGAAGGCATAGGGCATCTAAATGTCTTAACTTAAAAGACCTTAATAATTAATATGGCGTTTGAATTTCTTTTTAAATAGAAAGTTTCTACTGAGAAGTCATACAATTGATTTATTTGATGAAATCACTTTAATCATTCAATAAAATATTAGCCATGTGATAAAATATTAGCTAATATCACACCAGAGTTGGTTATACTGCACGAAGTTTATAATATTTTTTTAATATAAATTTTTTATTTATTGTATATCAGTATTTCATTAAATTAATAATAATTTATAAGTTAAAAATATTTTTTATTTAAATATAAATAAGATAATAATTTATAATTAATATTGCAATTGAACGTCCTAATCTCATCCACGTGTGCTTTGTATTCCATCTTCTTCTTCTACTTCTAGATCATCATGAATTTTCTTTCAATGGTACCGACTGAAATTTTATTCATTTCGCTTTAACGTTATCCTAAATCATATCGTTTTTATTCGACCTTTTTTCTCCCACTCAATTTTGTATCCGTGTTTCTGTTTGATTTTTAGCTTTCAAAGCAAACGTTCATGATCTTCGTATTGGTTTGTGGTGTTCATCAAATTATTTGTAAATTTTTTCATGTTCATTGTTCTATGGTTCAAAGCAATAGTTCAATCACTATAAAAAAATATTCTCCAACTACGTGAAATTCGCGTGATTAAAAAGTAGTCTTGCGATGTGAAAAATACACCACTAATTATTTAAAATAATAAAATAATAAACGTCAACTTTTCACATGGGAAAATTTTAAAATTTTCAAGAAAAATCATTGTGACATGCATATCATGTTGCTATTCAAATTTCAAAAAAAAATTGAGTGAGAAAATTTGACCGATAGAATGGATTTGACTGACATTTGTAAGGTAGTATCATAGTTTCCACGTTACTAATAGCCACATGTATTTCATGTCGCAACTCCAATGATAAAAAAAAAATAGTGACGTGATTTTAATGATACAATAGACTCACTTTATGATACAACTGTAGTTGTGTCATGACAGGTGTAGCCACATAAAATTCACGTCACAAATGATTAAAAAATTTGCGACATAAATTTCATGACACAGTAGACTTTATTAATTAGACTTCAGCGCTTTCCCACACGTTATGCTTCAAGTGACATTTCTTCTCTCCATTTTTCAAATCCTCTCATTCCTTCCTTAAACGGTTTTTCCTCTCTATTTTCTTCTTCCTCCTACTTTTTTCTATTATTTAATTTTTTTCTTTAACAAAGAAGCAAAAAATTGATCAAGACTTAAGCTCTATCGAATGATTAAAGCTTCTCCGTTTTAATTTGATTTCTTCACTATATTGTTTTTTTGTTTTCATATATTGGGTTGTTTTTTTTTTCTGTGTACATATTGTTCATATATCAATGTATTTTAGTAAAATAAAATATTTAAATAGGACTAATATTTTTTTTATTTTAAAAATTCAAAAATATTAATATTTATATATATTTAATATCAGAATAAACAATATATACTATTTACTTATATGAATTTTTAATATATATTTAAATTTTGAAAATATTTAATTTTATCTATATTTTAATACATAAATTAATATATTGTTTTCATTTTAATATATTTGGTTATTAAATATTTTATTATAAAGATATAATATATATTAAAATAGAGTATATAATATATTAATTTTTTTATTATTTTTATAGTTAAAAGCACAATATATATAATTTATATATTTAAAAACAAATTATATAAAAACATACAATTTTAAAAATAGAATATATATATATATATATATATATATATATATATATATATATATATATATATATATATATATATATATATATATATATATATATATATATATATATATATATATATATTAAAAATATATTTCTATATTTTGTTATATATATAACAAAATATTTAAAAGCAGAAGTTATATATATATATATATATATATATATATATATATATATATATATATATATATATATATATATATATATATATATATATATATATATATATATATATATATATATATATATATATATATATATATATATATATATATATATATATATATATATTTTGATGTGAGAAACTCACTGCTAATAATTTATGGCGTGATTTTCATTTGGTAATTTGGTTCACATTGGCCCATGTGCGACTTAAATGTAGACGTTGTAAGGTGTGCAGTCTATTAATTAGTGACGTAATTTTAATGTCACAAATTAGTGACATGTTTTTCACGTGGCAACCAATTGCGACGAGTGGTCCTGCGACATATTTCAGCCACGTCGCTAATTTTTTTTGTGACGTGATATTTGCGTTCATGGCACGTGGTTAATAACTTTTTGTAGTGAATGTCATTGTCTTCTTTCTCAGATAAATAGTTGTTCGTATTCATCTCAATTTGTATATTTTTTTCAAAATCAATTTGATTTTAGTTTTTACACATAAATTATTGAATTGGATTAGGGATTTTTTTTTTATTGAAATTCATAAATTTTGAAATTAATTTGAATTCTTACCCAAAAAAATTATGTAATTGAGGATTGTGGTTTGTATTTTATAAAATTCACAAATTCTTAAATTCATTTGAATCTTCCTTAGTTCATAATTCATGCATTTAAAAATGTTTTAGCTCCTATAGTTCTTGCATAATACGTTTATGTTTTTCAGCTCATATTTTAAAGTTGGTCTTAGTTATTACTCAATCTTTTACAAACCATTTATAGGAAGAACAAGAAAATAAAGAAACTGATTTCCTGAAAAATATAATGACTTCATTTATGCTTCGGTGGATCAAACTTGTGGAGGTACATAATTGTTAGTGCGTGAGATACTTTTAATGAGGAGAGAAAGAGAGAATAAAGAAACAAGAATTGATATTATTGAATGAATTGTTACAAATAATGATATATATTATGACTATTTATATACAACCCTAATTGGACTTGGGCTAATACAATTTGGATTATATTTAAATATTAAATCTAATCAAATCAAATCTAATATAATCTAATATTTCAACATACCCCCAATAATCCATGTTGTCGAACCTATGCTAATCATAGTCGATATGAACTATTTCTAATTTCTTTCTCAAATTCAAGAATCTGTCGATCTTCAATCCTTTTGTGAAAATATCGGCCAACTCTGCTTCACTTAAGCAGTGCCTAACTTCAAGTTCACCTCGATTTACCTTTTCCCTTAAGAAGTGAGATCTAGCTTCGATATGCTTACTTCTTCCATACAGAACTGGATTCTTTGCCAGATTTATGGCAGAATTATTGTCGATTTGCAACACAAGAGGTTTCTTCATTTTGACCCCTATTTCTTCGAGTATCGATCTGATCCAAATTGCTTGACATGCAGCATAGGACCCTTCTATATATTCTGCTTCACATGATGATAGTGCCACCACATGTTGCTTTCTCGAGAACCATGAAATTGGGGCACCAAATACTTGAAAAATATATCCAGTAGTGCTTCTTCGATCTTCCTTATCTTCGCATCAATCAGCATCTGAAAAATAAGTAACCATAGTTTCTTTGCTTTCAGTGTCTCGTCGAAATAAAATTCCATAGTTTGTCGATCCTTTTAAGTATCTCAGGATTCTTTTTGCAGCCTTCATGTGTGACACCCTTGGTTCACTCATGTATTTGCTGACTAATTCGACTGAGAAACATATACCAAGTCGACTATTGCACACATATCTTAGAGATTCGACAATCTACTTGAACAAAGTTGCATCGACTTTGTCTTCCTTTCCATGCTTCTCCAACTTTAAATTTGGTTCAATATGCAAAGATGCAGGAATTGAATCATCCATTATGAATCTCTTGAGTATCTCTTTGACATACTTTCTTTGATGTA